AACTCTGTAGTCCTGACAGGATGGAAGCAATCTATTAATAAAATAAGGTGGCAAGTCTTTCCTGCACACTGTCTCCTGGAATGACAGGCAGAGACTGGGGCAGTGGCTACAAAAGATGCTAAACACTCTCCAAAAAAAAGATGAGAAGTCCTGAAGGGTTGCTATCCAAGATCCTCTGTCAGTCATATCTGGTCTGGATTTACAGGCCTCAATGACAGAATTATTTCCAGTCCCTAGATCCTCAGGCTGAGCCCTCCAGCAGGGCAGAACCGGAACATAGATGATGTTTCCTAAAGCTCCGCAATCTAAGCTTCCATGCTGCAATTCAGCCCCAAACCCAACAACACAGCATAACTCATAGGACAGTCCCAAGCAAAGCCACACCCTCACCATTAACATGATGCCTACCTTTCCATGCACTCAGGTTGGTATCAGGGCACTGGCCACAGGCGGCTTATTTTACCACAACAAGGGCTAATCACCACCTCAAGAAGTGACTTACTGAGTTTCCCTATTCTGATGGATGGTATTTAAATAAAGTTTCATTCACACACATCTAAAAGAAGATTCTTTGGGACTCTCCCCCTCCCATTTTCTTCCTTCTGGCATATCATGACTTCAAAGAATTAGAGTATGAGCCATTTCCAACCTTCTCTCTCATCATTTTGCTAAATTAATATGTCGAGTTCTAGTTTGTAATCACTCATTAATTAAATGGCCAGGTGCTATGGTAATCTTATCCTTATGTCCCCAAAAGAAACAGGACCCTCCATCACCTAGAAAAACAGACACAAGAACCAGTGAAACTAGACTTGAAAGACACTAACTCAAACACCCTGGTCCACTGTGCAAACAGCTTCAGCACACTGTGCAACATTTAGGGAGAGTTGGTCCTGGTTCACTGGTATCTACATCTGTAAACAGACACCAAGAGGTAACTGTAAATTACCAAGGGCTGGGGAAATAGGAGTTACCAAATAATTACCATTGTTTCAATCTGAGTTACCACATCTTCACCTCAAAACAACTGGCAGCCAGTGTACAATTAACTCTCCTTACTGCAGCACAGACATCAAAACAGTAGCCGTATCAGGTTCATGTTAAGTCACCTAATGCAATACAGAACACAACTCCAAGAATAAGTGGCATCAACTGGCCTCCTAGGTTGCCCGCCTTTCAGAGTGTGTCCAAAAGCTCCCAAAGTTTAAGAAAGAAATCAACTGGTACCCTATATTAAAAGGCCAGCTCAGCTCTAAGACTCAACTTCACTTAGATTTGTGGAGTCTTTCTCCAAACACAATCAGTGGCCAACGTAGGAGTCAATGGCTTCTCCCTGTGTTCAAGTCCCCTCCCACCCACCCACCCCCTTTCAGAAATTAGAAAAACGCCACCAGTCTCCAAACTGGCTGATGAAATTTCAGCCTACAGGATATTTTCATACTTGCGTTACAATAAACCACTGAGTAGTGGACACCTTAATAACCCATTGGCTAGAGCATTTGAAGTCCAGCGTTAGCGTACAAAGTCCAAAATTCTTTAATCTAGATCAAAGCCCAGTATATATGTATTTCATTATCAGCTCTCCATTCCCTTGTGTTACTTTGCAGTATGGAGAGTGTAGTCTATTGTTTGCAAGGTCCTAGCTATTCACTTTAGTCACCAGCTTGCTAACTAAGACTTTCCATTTGTATTCAAGTCGGAATTCAGTAATTCAGTACTAGGCTCTATTCCACTCCCTTCATTACCCTCAGGACTGCCCAACTGGCTCTATTCAAGTTAGTTCTCAGAATCCATCTACCGATGCTACTAAAATACCAGAACTTAAAACAGGTGACGGGTCCTCAATTTCTGATTTGTTTTTCCCCAAACACTAAAAGGTTTTATTTAGCATTTCTAATACCAACTTTACTACAAATAGCCCAAGCAATATTTAAGTCTCTTAACCGCATGGCTCAAAGGGCCAATTCACTCAAAGAACACACTAGTCACTGTTGTGGGGTTCAAAAGAAGAAAACAGTGTATTCTTTCTGTTTCGGCGCACTGTGACATGGCAGAAGAGGGCCAAATCAAGGAGGAGTCCTGATTGGGCTTCTCAAGTGGACAATCTGGTCAAGGTGAGGCTGAAAAGCAGCTGACTATTGAAGATGAATGGCCCCAACAGAAGGCAAAAGTAGGTTACATCCCCTGGTTACATGCCAGCCCAAAGATGCCGACATAGTGGGACTGAGCCCACAATGGTCATTTATCTAACGTAATCCACGGAGTGAACTTTTAGCACCAACCTACACCTCAGCTGAGTGTTATTAGTCACCAGGCAGACCAGACAAGAGTGGAAATATTGCAACATAAAACCTGCCTCCCTACAAAAAACAACCTCAAACTTAGATCCTGATGGATGTCTTTGTAGACCACAGGGGTATGTTATTATCATTTGCCCAGTCTTCAACCCTAAATTCATACATGGCTGGAAGCAAAGGAGGATTCATATATTAGAACATATGCAGGGTACTTGTTATGCAATTTTAAATAGCAGCATATAAGACAGGATACTGTAAGGAAAAAAAAAAAGTGTGTTCTCAGTTGAACATTCCATTGAATTCTGAACACAGTTTGACATTTATCTGCCAGAAAAGACCCAGGTGACCACAGCCACCTTGCCTCCTCTCCCCACTCAGCAGGGTGACTTTTTCTTTTATTGCAATAGTCCAATAGTACCTGCAAAACAGTAAGTGATAATACTCTAGGAAAAGAAACAGAATTGATCAAAAAGGAGCATCGCTTTCTATTTCCTTCTTCTTACTCTTATTTTGCCTACCTATTCTGAGCCCAGCCTCCACCAATCTTGACTTAGACTTTTTCATTTCCTCTTTGCTCACTAGGCTCTGGCTGTTACTGCCCCCCCCCTTCCCTTCTCCCTCACCTCCCTACACCCTCTCCACCCCATCCCTTTCTTCCTAGGCCCTAGAACTAGCCAGTCACTCTTGCCAGTTTCTGCACTAGCCAGTCCCTGAACCTGGAAGGCTCCTCCCCTATATCTGCATGGCTGGCTTCTTTTTATTTAAAGCTCAACTTAAGTGTCACCTCCTCAGAAAGGTCTTCCTTGACTGCATCCCAATGAGACACTTTCTGTCACCTCACTCTTCAGCACTTATCAAAATCTGATTTCTATGCTTATTTCTTCTGTCCCCACACACTCCAGTGTGAGCTCCATGAGAGCTCAGACCTTATGCTTGCATTCACCTTTGTCCACTCAGAGCCCAAAATAACGGCTAGGACTTACTAGCTGGTCAATAATGCTTGTTGAATGAATTAATTTGGACTTTTAATTCTTTGGTTCCAAATCAATTAAGGTGAGAACAGTGGTCATTCTTTTCTTTTGTTATAGTTCTGTGAAACATCTAAACATGCTGTTACTTGTACAATCAAAGCATTAAATATTATTTTATCAGGCCTGAAAGCCCTGATGAGTAGGATGGGATCCGTTACAATTCTTCTAGCAATACGCATATAAATTCAGTTATAGAGGGCCAGGATTTATGGACACGCTCTAATCAAAGGATCCCCAAATTTAGGCACTATCTCTTAAAGTCCTTCAGAAAACACAGTTCCACATTCAACAGAGGACTTCCAAGAAAATATCAACACCAAAATAGGAATCATTGCATTTCATTCTGAAATTCCTACGACAAGCTAAAAGAGCACTACTTGGTGATTTTTTTTTAAACCAACAGAACATCAATAAAGAGATCTTCTAATTATTCTCTGCTTTCTTCAAATAATTTTTCCATTATTGGTTTGTATTCTTTTTTTAAAACAGATCACATTTTCTCATTTAAGTCCATCTATACACAAAGAATCAGCTAAATAAATAAGACAGAAATCAGCACAAGCCAAATGTGTCACTGAAGACTTGTGTGCCCGACACACAAACGGAGAAAAAGATAAAAGAGCTATTGTCCAATTGCAGAAACAAAAAAGTAATATGGGGTTTTCTGTTCTCTGAAGTGCATCATGAAGTGTGGGTGGAGAGAAACACAGAAATCCAGAATTAGCTTAACATCAAATCATTTTGGAAAGAGTTGACAACATGTAAATTCCTCACACATAAAGTATTTAGAACAAGAGACTTTGATTCCTGGGCTATGATGCCATTTAGGAATCCTTGCAAGGACTTTGGAATTCCAGTATTCATAGGAGAAAATGTTCATCTTAATTTGGAGCTACCAGGCATTGAGAGGTACTCCCAATGTGACACAGCCTGTAACTGAAGTATTACAAAGCTTGCAGTTAAGATCTGGGATAGAGGCTGAACACCAAATTCAAAAGAGGTAACCAAGGTACCAAGTGCCATAAAGGGAAAAAAAAACCCCAAAACCCACCAAGATTACCACCTAGCCACAGAGAACTGAGGTGGAAACGAGGGGTGTATATGGGGTAAGGTAAGGGGTAAAGGGGAATGGAAAAAAACATCTGTCACCCCGTCCCACTTCCTATACAGGATACAGGCAAAGCTTCCAGCCCCATTACCTCAGGCACAGATGGTTATCGTTTATAGCAAAGGTGCACAGAAAGGCCTTCAGGTCTGAGCCCCTTAATTCCAGGGCTGTTAATGATTAAAAAGGATGGGGGTGGGGAGGAAAATGAGGGAGGAGGGAGCTGGAGATTCACCCACCACCTCCCGCTTGGACTCCCACCTCACAGCGCTTACCCGGGCCATAGGACCAGAGTCTGCACCCTCTCCAGGGCAGCTCCAGCCCCAGATCCCCAGGCCTGGGTTGAGGGGTGCTGGCGGTGGGGAGGCAGGGACAGTAGGTTAAGTTTTCTTGAGCCCTGCGTCTGACACGCCACAGGCTCCCCTCACAGCCTCTTCCAAAGGGACCAGTCCAGACAAGGAGCTGATTTCCACTCCTCCCCTTCCACCCCCTTTTCTCGAAGGTACCCAACCCCCGCCCCTTCATCTCTCAATGTTCCCCGCTTCTCCTCAAACCCCCCAAACTCACAGCTGCTCCAGAGGTTCCTCCAGTCAAACCCTTTCTGGAAACGACGGCGGCCCGGTGGGTCCAAACCACCTACCATCCCCGCTCGCGTTTCCAGGCTCTCTACCCGCGCCGCCGCCTCCTCTTCTTCCACCACTGCCGCCGCCTCCTCTTCATCTGCGGCCCACCGGCGGCGGCCGCCCCCAAGCCCCGCCCCCTCCATCGCCTCCTGCATCATCACTTCCGGTAACCCCGCAGGCCGCCCGCTCCAGGAGGGAGAATAGAAGAGGGGCGGGGAGGAACGGGTGGAAGATTGCGTCACGACGTACGCAAAGGCGTACGAAGCCGTCGCCAAGTAAGGGCAAAGGCCTAGCGACGCGGAGGGAGGGCTAGGAGGGGCTGGACTGGGCCATTTTTTTGGCTCGGGGGGGGGAAGGATAGGGAAAGGGGTAAAGGGAAACTAGGGAAAGGATGAAGTGGGCTATATTGTTGCGTATACGGCGGAAGGTGGGCTAGAGTATAAAGTTTAAGGGAGACTCGAGACTGCCCCTGACCTGGAACTAATGCTCCCAAAGAGGCCCTCCCGGTGGTTTAGTCCGGCCTGGCCTACCAGACTTGCCCGACCAGCGTCGGCCGCGGCTCAGCTAAGCTCCCGGCACCGCCTCCTCCTAGTCCGCGGTAGGCTGCGGCGCTTCTGTGGGTGGGGGAAGGCAGGACTGACGCAGAGTGAGTGTAGGGGATGGAGACGCTGACTCCTGGCGCGGGAGACTGGGGGAAGGGGTTGGCGCCCCAGGGGCAGGGATGGGGTGGGGGCGGGGGTGCGACGTTGCTAGGAGACGTGCTTGTGTGACCCCAGCCTCGCGAGGGCGGCTCGGTGTCATCGCCACTGGCCTCAGGAACCTGCCAAGGGAAGCGGCCCGAGAGCCAGGAAGCGGAGGCCTGTTGTGGGGACGCTGAGATGCCGGTTGGGCCCATCTGAGACTTTTCTGAGTCCTTTAGATCCCTGAATATAAATGGGAGATTAGTAGGGGCAATTCCGGGAGCGAGAGGCGTCAGGCTGGGGAAGGTTGACCCAAACGAGGCCCCGTAGAGGCTACGGAGACTTTCTAGGATAGCGCAAACCTCCTTCTTACTGCCTCGGTCCACAAACGAGAACAAGACAGAGGCCTTGCTCCGTGACTTTATTCGAGTGCAGAAGAAAGTTAAAATGTAAATCAGTAAGGAAGATATCAGCAAGTGCCACATGCCCCCTAAGACAATAATACCGGGTGAAGTGGTAGAAGATTGGGGGAGGGTCACTCTAATTCGGGTAAGGCTTTTCAGACAAGATCAGGTTTCATAGAGATGCGAGAAAAGAGAGAAGCTAGGGAATGGACATTGTAGATGGAGAAAAGAGCCAACGGGAAGGGTTCTGAGGAAGGAAACGGCGAGAAAGCCAGGTGGCTGGAACTGAAAAGGGCCAGAGTGGTCTGTGATGAAGAAATGGCAGGGCCTGGTCAAGCACAGCGTTTTAGCCCAAGGTAAGGGTTTGGCTGTTACGTTACCTGAGGATTTTGAGAAGGGGAGTGACCTGATTTACATTTTTTAAAAATCCCTTGGCTGCTAGATAGAGAAGGGTAGAAGTTGTCAGACCTGTTAGGAGGCTGCTGCAGTAGGCCAGGCGAGAGATGGGTAGTGACCGTGGAAATGCAGATAATTAAATTCATAATGCATTTTGGAAGTAGAGCTTGCAAGACTTGCTGTCGGATTGGATGTGAAGTGTATGAGAAGAGGAGGAACCAAGGATGACTCCTAAGGGAAGACAGCTTGGGAGGAAATATCCTAAATTCTCTTTTAAACATACTAGATTTGCTAGGTTTATTAATCATCCAGGTGAGGATGTTGAGAAGTTAGATATACAAGTCAGGGGAAAAGTCCTAGGGAAAATAAGTAGAGGGGTTTTTAGAGACTACACAGAGAAGAAGAGAAGCCAGCAGAGGAGACCCTTGACACAGATAAGGCCTCAGAGATAAAAGAAGGCTTCCTTAATATCCCATAATAATGAGACTCACTCATAATCAGTGAGATTTATCCAAACCCACTAGCCAGCTTCTGTTCATCATCTAAGCCCTGGCTCAAATCTCTTCCTTCCCTTCCTCCCACAGCTGTGGGTGCTTTTGGACTTGTGCACAGGTGACTTGTGTCCATTACAGCAAGCCTGACTTTGCTTGTTAATTGTTTGTATGTCTGACTCCCCACGGGCTATTTCTTCTTTGTGTCCTGCTGGCTCCTAGTACAGAGCTTTGCCCGTAGGGTCCACTATATGGTTATAGCTAGGTAGGAACACTATTCATAAGATACCAGTCATGGACTTCAACAATTCTGACAAAGGGGCTTTTGTCCCGCTGCTGCCGCCACTGCCAATCACAAACTAGATATGGTTAATCTCATAAAATCTAGAAAGGATATCAGAAGTTTCAGAAGGCCTGGGTTCCAGTCTTGGATCTGCTACTGATGAGCAGGGGCATTGGATAAGGTCTTTTTCTTTGAGCTGGAGGGGCTGGCCTAAATTAGAGACTACAAACTGGCAAGACAGATATTGCATGCAAACATCCCGTTCATCCCACAAAGCGATTTAAGTTTAAATTCTTTTTAAAATTTACTTACCAACATATAAAAATTGGACATCAAAATCCAGATTTTCAGCTTCATTTGAAAAATGAGACAATCTGGCAACACTAGCCTGAGGTTCCTACACTGCAACAGTCAGCTAGAGCCAATAAGCTTCTCCCCACCCACCCCCCTCCTCAACTATCTGCCTGACCTGTGGGCATTTGATTTGCAGTTCTTGGTGTAGCTGTAGCACTGTGCTGTTCCTGAGGAGCCATTAGCTACATGTAGTTATTTATTTGGGTTTTTTACTTGTAGCTATTTAAATAAAAATTTAAGTGCCGGTTCCTCAGCTGCAGTAACCATATTTCAAGTGCGCAGTAGCCACATGTGGCCAGTGGCTAGCTACCCTGTTGGACAGCACAGTTATAAAATATTTCTGTCATTGAAATACATTATGTTGGTCAGCACTGGACTGGAGGAGCTTGAAGGTACTCTGGGTGCTAGTCGTTCCACCCATGTAAAGAGGGGCAGTCATTGCTCCTACTCTCAAGGAATTTTGTCTAATAAGGAGCTCTTTTGCCTCTGCAGATGAGAAGAGTTGCTCATTTGGTAGTTACTTGATAGTTGGAGGGTATTTAGAAACTGTCTTGAGGGCAGGGACCTCTACTCAAGCAAGGTGAGGTTATTCATCAGATGGTTGGATCAAGGGTCAGATACTAGGAAGCTCCAGCTGTATCTAATGCTCTAACCAAAGCTCTTTTGTCAGTTCCCTAATCCATTTCCCTAGGAAATTATCACAAAGGAGGGATTTAAATGTTAATTTAAACCTAAGTGTTTCTTGTTCTCGGACTTCTCCAGTTCCTATGAAGGGTTGAAATCCTGGATAGTTATGAATGAATGACTGGGGTTGATTTTTAGCATTGACCTAGTTTTCATCTATTTCCAGCTCACATAACACCCCACACGTCTAACACCTCCTCCTACTTCTGGTAACTGGTTCTCACCACCTCTGACTGACCCTTACTTTGTGTCTTAAAATATGCTGGTAAGGAAACAGATACTTCCATTTCTTTTGAATTGAGGGGCCAAAACTTGGTTTCCATTTAGAATTTCTGTCTCTGAGGGGAAAAAGAGCTGTATCTCTCTTGGTTACAAAAGCCTGATTGGAGTTCCCCTTACAAGTATAATCTTGCATGTGCTTCTGTGCTGGTATATTTAGAATGAGCATACTTGCCTCCTATGATCTTGTTTGGGATAATTTCGAAGTCTTTCAGACATCAGTATTTTTGGTTTTTCCCTGTGTTCTGGAGATTTCCCATATTACAGGACCTAACCTAATTTCCATTCCTTTAAAATGAAAATACAATCTACCTTCTCCCTGCCTCCTATCTCTGACACACCATATTGTCACTTTCTGTGTAAAAAGATGCTGTTTCAGAGAATAGCTGTGGTATGATTAAGTACACCACACAAGCATATCCTGAGATTTGCAAAACAATGTGTGGCTTTACACTTCCCTTTTTGGATTCTAGTAACCAAAAACTGAGTCCAGGACAGGAAACAAGTCCATTGGGTGTGTGTGTGCGTCTGTCTGTGACTGTCTGTCTGTTATTGAAGAGAGAGGAGAGAGGGCAGAGATGTGTGGAGCACAGCTTATCTTGAAGGTTATTCGATTTGGGTAAGGATGATACTGTATAGGATATGGGTGTACACCAGAAAGTAGGAAATATAACAGATGTAGGAGAAAAACACGCCAAAGGATAAGCAAGGAGTAAGAGATAAAGGAAGAAAAATAGGAAGGGAAGTCTGGGCATGCTTTCGATGTTGGCACCTGCATTATATTTCCAGTAAAAAGTATGTGCTGTGGTGTGAAGATAAGCAGTGCCTCTGACAGGGTTATTTACTCATACTGAAGAACAATAGCCCTTTACTGTACAGGGATTATTAATGATCAGAGGGAAACAGCTTTAGGAAAATCCATTACTATCACAAAGCAATAAATTGGCCAACAGGCCGCACGCTTCTTCTCCCTCCTCTGCAGACAAAGCTTAGCATAGATAAAAGAGGCCTCATTGTTTCTTCTTTATTTCCTCCTATTCAGGTAACATTTGCCTTCGTTAGTTCCCAATGCTAAGTGATTTACATGGGTTATCTCATGAATAATCCTTACCGTCACTCTTTGAAGAGGGTTCTATTGTTACCCCATTTCACTTTTTAAGAAACTGAGGCTCAGGAAGACGACCAGTGTAGTCAGAATTCAAACCCAGGTTTGACCATTCCAGAACCCATTTGCTCATTAGTTGCACTGTATCTTCTGTTCCCTACATATGTGGAAAAACTTTGAATGCCTAAAACGAAGACAGTCATTCTCTACTCTGCTTCCCGGGGCAAGAAAAACTGTTTGCTTTGGCATTATGAGAGCATTTCAGTGCCCTAGAGGTTTTCCAAATGACAGAAGCTTCAAATTACAATTTTGTAGGTTTGACCCCTGATCATTTGGGTGCAATGGATCTATTCCCCAGAAGGAGTTTTTTTTCCCAAGAAAAAAATGTATCAGAACCACATTTTTCTATATATTTGGTTCTAAGCTTCGTGGAAAAAGTAAATCATTTCAGTCCAGTGCATCAACCATTACTGGCTTTTAAAGAACTTGTAAGGGTTACATTTTAACTGTGTGTCTTATACTGCCTTAGATGGAACTGATAAGGCCTCCTCCCCAAATAACAGAGTCTTAAGTTCCTTATCCTAACACCCACAGCACCACTCTTGAAAACATCTTTGTGAGGGTTACTTAGTATTTTTAAATACTGGTCCAAATACTACCATGTATGAGAATGGGCATTACTGGTGACTATTCTGTGTGTGTAAATTTATTCTTACAAATTTCAAGCTCCAACTTTGTACCAGGCCTAAGGGTGTGATGAATGAGGCATAGTCCTAACCTTCTAATTTATCGCTCCCCAAAACACACACAGTGGAGGAAGAAAGGTAAGCCAAACAGAAACTTAGAATAGAATAGGATGACCAGTATGACACAAGTGCTGGAGTTGCCTGGGGTATACATCACAGGGGCATAAATGAACCCATTTCAGCATGAAGAAGGCACCCTGCAAAAAGTAAGGGAAGTTCAAGGA